ATCTATTACAATTCATATTTTTATGCCAAGCACACAGCCAGACATTCACCCCTCGAACATTTCCTGATTTGGGGGATGGTGAAAACAGTCCGGTTCGGGGGGATAAGTTTCCCCAAGATATTATCGCCAATTCTCCATCTGCTGTATTAGGGAACCTTTGGGATTTGACAATCATTTATTGTATAATATTTTTGGGATTAAACTGCGATTTATAAATAATTTTATTTTATTTTCTGAGGGTTTTTAAAAACTTTTACCCGTTTAGTTTACAGCGATGCCTTGCACTGTACTCCGACGAGTTAAATCAAGTGTTAAAGAGTTTTTTGAGGAACGTCATCCTCGTTGCTGTTCGTCTTGTGTCGTCGCAATTTCTTTTGGCTCCTTCTACCCCTTTTTTTTTCAACGTTATGCCTTTGCTGCTTAGCCTAATATCCAAATAAACATACTTTATCCGTTATTGCCGTCGAATTTATGGTTTCTTAAATGCCACCACCCCCCGACGAATGGACTATGAGAAGCTAGACTGGATTTTGATGAGGGTCGTCCTTCGGGCAGACAAATCCTTTGGTAAAACCATGTGCACTTTTGTAAAGTCTATTGGCCAATATATCGAAAGTTTTATTTCAGGAAAGAGGAATCTTTGAAGTTGTATCTTTTAAGTCTCAAATCCAGTGCATATTGTCAATTGCAATTAAAACACTGTTACAAGGTCATGGATTTTTTTTTGCACAGATAACAAAAAAAAGAGTCAAAAGTGGCTCCGCGCCGCCAAAGAAATTGCAAATTTTGCACATGTACCGAAATGCAACGCTATATTGCTTACAAATATACAAATATACATTTGCCATAGATACACAGACCGACATAAGCATACATTTGGAAGCGGATTCAATGGAATGCAACTGTAATCCGTGACAGCATTATGCCCTACACCTACCCCAATGCTCCAATGTTCCAAGGCTCCAACAACAACAACAACATCAACTGCAACACTTAGGGAAGTGCTTAATTTTCCAGCGTGACTTTTGCGCAGCTGCGGGACTGGAAAATGAATTACGACCGAGTGTCCTCCAGTGGGAAGAGAATACATCAAGCGGGAGAGAGAGGGAGCATGCATCCTCCAACCTGGCATGACTATGTGTGTGTGGGTGTGTGAACTTTGCAATGGTGGCTGCAGAGAGCGAAAGAACGAGAGTGAGCGAACGAGAGAGAAGGCCAAGAGCTAAATAGAAATTAACCAAAGGAAATGGAGCCACAACAAAAACAATAACAACCTGGACTTGGAGCAAGCGCAAAATTTATATTCCACCAGAAACGCCCACTCGGACCCCTGTGCGTGTGTGCGTCTGTGTGTGTGTGCAGGTGGTTTTCAATTATGTTTGGCAAATTATTAAATACATAAAGGTGATTTTCATGTTTAGCTATATACTTGGATACATAAGGACAGAGGTAATTGTGTTGAATTCCAGCTACTCAACAAATTATTAAAAATGCACTTGAAACATACATATGTACATATGTACATATATTATTAAATGTATTAAGTTTGGGTTTTTTATATAACAAAATTATATTAAAACAAGAAAGAAAGCTAACTTTGGCCAGTCAAAGTTTGTATAATTAAAATATATCATAACTAAGCCAAAAATGTATTAATTTTGATTCGGAAAGCAGTTTTGTGTTAGTTTTTATTAATTTAAAAAAACTGCATACCAAATTTAAAATTTTAAGAAATCAAAATTTTTGGCCATTTTTGCTAATTTTAATGATGTAACCCCTTATAAAATTTTGCAAAAATGGCCAAAAAATCGATTTCTTCCGGACATGTCTAGAAATATTCCCCTATTGATGCTGATCAAGAATATATATGGTTTATGGGGTCGGAAATGATTCCTTGACTTAGAAAAATATTATTTTGTATTATAAAATCTGATTTTTTATAATTAAAAAACTTCTTGATTTTTTTTAAATTAAAAATATCATAACTCGGCCAAAAGAGCATTAATTTTAAATCGGAAAACTGTTCTGTGCAAGATTTTCTACAGTTAATAAATCTGCATACTTAATTTTAAAATTTTGAAAATTCAATTTTTTATCAAAATCAAAAATTTTAATGATGAAACCCCTTATAAAATTTTGCAAAAATGGCCAAAAAATCGATTTCTTCCTGACATATCTAGAAAGATTCCCCTGTTGATGCTGATCAAGAATATATATACTTTATAGGGTCGGAAAGGTCTCCTTCACTGCGTTGCAAACTTCTGACTGAAATTATAATACCCTGCAAGGGTATAACAAAGGTTATTAAAATCATCATTATAGGATCTGCATCAACTGCCGGAGTCAATCAAGCCATGTCCGTAAGAACAAACCATTTTCCACTTTTAGTTTACTTATGAAACCCACTCCGAATTTTATAGGGTATCTCAGATAGTAGTTTTTATTATCTAAATCGATTATGATAAACATCACCAGACGTTTATCATAAATATCTACATATATCATGGCTACTGTACACAATGATTTCGCAGATGCTGCTAATAAATTCGATCGTATCTTATGGATACTGCTTATAACATCCGGTGGTTAAAGATATAAACACCTTATGGTGTATTATAACGGATTAACGGATTAACGGATAACCTTATAGCATTTTCGGCTATTTCCATTCTTGAACCCCTCACATCCTTCTGACCCTTTTTGTCCTGGAGTCTATTTCTCAATGCGAACACGATACCTGTTTGAACCAAATAAAGATATCATTAGAAAGTCATGTAGCGCATTAATCCAACTGTCGTCGCCACACCCCAACCCCACTCTGTGGAACCACACCCTCTCCGGGAGGCAGCCGCAATTGCCATTATGTCGAACACGCAAGTCAATTGATGCAATTTGTCCGAACAGCCGGAGAGCATTCGCCGGGGCCAGGGGCAATTTCCCCAGTGACAATCTGACATGCCGTAACAGGTTCACGGTCTGACGAATAGTGGGTGGTGCCCTGCGGGGAACAGGGATTGGGAACTGGGAACTGGGAGCACGGGCAGCCGGCTCTCATCAACAGTTAGCAGCTTCTGCTGGTGATTTAAGGGTTGCCAGCCAGCGACGACTCGCCCTCAAATGAATTGCGGCGATTTATTGCGGTAATACTCATTTAGTGGACCAGCCTTTAGCGGGGTGAAGTGAACAGAAAAAAAACTTAAGTAGTCGAATATGAGGTACCGAGCACTGCAATTTGTAAAGTGCAAATTAGAAAGTAGTAGAATTTATTACAATATTACAAATTTAAAAATGAATTAAAATTTTGGGTCCCAAATAAATTGTATTAGTTGTTTTTACTTTTTAGAATCATTCCAATTGATTTTAAATCTGTACATTTGGTTTTAACTGTTCTAAAAGTTAAGAAAATCTCAAATTCGAAGCTTTATGTTTATGTAATTTTATAAATTCAAACGAACATATCCCTCTCCTGCTCGATTCAAGGGTATAAAAATCGACTTGAGTCGAGTTGAGTGCAAACAATGCACACAATAAAAATAAATCTTTTTGGAACAAGTGTGTGTGTGTTCGCTTTGTTATACCCGTGGGAAGACCGGGCGAGAAGTTGTCAATTACTTACGAATCGATCTGTCCGGGATCTGTTTTGGCATTCATGTCAACGCCAGGTGACCGGTACATCCTTGAATAATCGCTCTAATTGGAGCGTCTCTATAGAAGTCATGCCGAGAAAGTACGTGATATGCATTTTCATCCTAGCCAGGCAATTAATATAGGACAATTCCCAGCTAAAACTTATCGGCGGCAACGTAAATCAGCATTATGTCGGAGGCAATGAAAATGAGCTCTAAATTCAATTACAGACCGGTGGCTTCGTCTTCATCGCATGCCTCACTCACTCTTGCATAAATCAAGAGTCCTGGCTGCCTGCCTGGGCCTGAGATTCTAATTTACCCTGGCCCTGGAATGTCTTAGAAGATGCTAAGCGGCTTTGCTCGCTCATAACTCACCCAGACACTTTGTCACATTATGAATTTAAATTTAATGGGTAATTTATGGGCGGATTTGTCGACCTTCCCGCCCCCGGCGGTGGTAACAACTAATTAGAAAGCCAACGAAGAGTAAGTGTGGTTAGAAATTAAGCTTTTTCTCACGACATTAAGTTCCTACTTTTTAATTATATTTTAAATTAACAAAAAATATTATTATACAAGAGTTTAAGTTATTAAATATAAATAAAAACTACAGAGCACAAATTAACATAAAATGTTGTCCTTAAATAAAGCATAGCCTACTTTTACGCTCTTTACAAATACATTTTATACCTAGATGATACCTAGAGAGTACTCTATTAATTGCACTCCATAATGGTTACTTCCGCTGGGCCACATAATAGCATAATTAATCGATATTAAATGAGCAGCCGAGAACAGAACAATAAAGGCAGGAAACTCAGCCACAAAAGGTTAAATTAAACGAAGTAATTGTTACGTACCACAGTCCCCTGCCAGCCAGTGGAGTTTCCACCCCGTCTCTCGAAGTTTTGGCCCTCGTCTCTGAGGGGTTGTCCTGGGATCCGGGTCCTTTACAATGCATAATAAACAGTCGAGCGGGCACGGAGCAAACAAAAGTGGGGAAGCGCACGAAGCTCGTTGAGATTTTGATTTTTAAACGGCACAACGGGGGGGTGGAGTTTCAGGAGACAAGGCTGTAAAGCGCACAAAGTCACACGGCAGGTGGCGTAAAGCATCCCAGGAGGCGGGGAATGGTGGGGAGATCTGCACACAAAGTGATTTAAATGCACTTCTAATGGGATGAAATTATATACTGTCTGGGCTCGTGGTCGCTCTTCACCTCCGTCCACTTTGATCCCATTCCCGTTTCTATTCCGAATTGCGGTTTCAAGGAGGGAGGACACATGAATATGCAAAGAATTGCGCTTTTGATGTGCCCTCCAGGACAAGCGGGGGCACCTTCATCGTAAGCCAAACTTACGGCAATACTTTAGGTTAAACTGTACATTTTTTTAATTAAAATTTTGCCTATAAAATTATAATTAATGCTTCTCTGTCCAGAGCTCGGCGTCTAGATTTGATGACCGGCTAAAGCCGCTTAGAACAATTTAAGAAAACAACAATTTGTGGGGTCACAGTAAGCATCTTATCAGAGCTAAGCAGCTGGGGTGACCCCCATCGTCATCGAAGTCCAGGCAACGGCGGAATGTGATTACAGCTTTTGGCGTTCCATCTGGAATTTTAGCGGTCTCAAGTGTCCATTGGGCGGGGGAATGTTGAGTTCCAAATTTTTAATGGAAAGACCATAGGCATAGCGATGCAAGTGCTTTGAACGGGCTATAAACTCATCCGCTGAGCCCGGAAAAGAGATAACCTCACTGACCAAATGCGGCTCTGGCACATAGTAGTCATCGCCTGGCAGGACATAGACCATAGTTCCTTCGCAATTGTAAACCACCGGCAGAAACATGGTCGTTCCTAATCTACCTCGTTTGACGGCGAAATCCAATAAGCGCAGGTACTTCTTGATACCTATTAGACGCAACAATTCGTAGACTTGAGGTGGGAGAAACCAAACCTCACCCATTTGGTTGAGTCGCAGCAAGTCCAGCGGAGCCAGCCACTAGTTTAATATTAAGTTAATTGATTTATAAGGCTTTTTGCCAGCCAGGATAACTATCTTACCATCGTCTCCTTGACCTCGCCGGGCTCCTCCAGCAGTTTAGGCTGCTTGTCCACAAAGGCCATAAAGAAAACCGTTTCATACCTACGGAAGATAATCACTAAACATAAAGCTGACTAAACATATACCATTTACTAACCCCTTGCGCAGAAATCCCGGACTTGCCCAGGCCGACCACTCATGCAGGGCCCACAGATCTGGAACCACCTTCAGATGACGGCATAGGGTCAAGAACTCACTGGGCTTGTCGTGCACCCTCCGCTGCCACGCCTCCAGATCGGGCACATCCTGAACACAGGCCACTGCGCCAAAGTCCAGTTGCTTTTGACTGCGGGCCAGCAGCACTCCAACTTCCTCAAAGGTCTCGCGCACGGCTGTGAGGCGCAGTATTATCTCCCTGAAACCACAGAGGGCAAAGATCAGCTTACTCTAATCTCAACCTTAACCTTTGGACCGACCCACCGCGACCAAATGCGGGAGCTCTTGAAAAAACGATCATAGCATCCAGTACCCTGGGGTGCCAAAATGGCAGGACGATCGTCCCGGATCAGCACCAGGGGACGCAGCTCCTCCTGCGGGACACCGAACTCCTCAAAGTACTGCAGCCAGGCCACACTTTCATCGGCCTCCGAGTCCAAAAGGCCGCCGGGGAAGACGGTCTGGTTGACCACCATAGCCGTGGCATCGCTGCGCTTGAGCATTAGCAACTGCAAGATCGGGCGGAGTAAGTGACGGAAGAATAAACATTTCTAAAGAGATCTCCGTAGTTGCCTTGTAATCGTCGCTCGTTCCGGCATCGCTGGCCACCAGAATTACGCTGGCCGAGGTGCGCCATTTGGCAGTAGCAGTGGCTTGACTCATGGCTGCACCTTAAAATTGGCTTAAACTAAATGTAATTAATTCTACTTTGAATTGGGTTTTGTTTTGCTCGCGCCAACAGCTGATCCGCAGCCGCCAATCGATATCGATAACGGTAACGGCTCCTGCGCTCAGGAAACGAACTATTTGGCCGGTTATCAACACTGAATATTTGAAATTCGTGCAGAATTCAAACTTTGCCTAGTGCCCGATAAAAGCACATAAGCAGAGTCTCATGAGTAAACGAACAAAAACTTGAATATAGATTAGCTGCTGAGGGGCACACGTGTTCGGTTGGAAACATATTTAAGCGCTCACCCTTGCCCAAGAAAAGACACTTACGATTAGAGTTTGTAACCGACAGCAACTTGTAGTAGAAGAAATGAGAATTATAGTCACTTTCTTGTTCCTGGGCTTGTGCCTGTGCAGTGTCCGGGCAGAGGATGATCTGGTGGAGCTACTCAAGGACAACACCAATGGCATTGGAAGGGCCAATGAGCTCCTGGCCAGGATTGCCGCCATCTACGAGGAGACCCGGGCCAACTTGGTGGCACAAAAGGAGGCTCTCAACATTGTAACCCTTGTACAGGAACTGCTGGCCCGTCTCGAAGTTGTGCTGGTGGAAAAGACCGATCTGATGGTGGCTACGCTGTTCAACATTTCGAAGCAAGGTGAAGAGTATGCCAAGCGCTCGGAATCGGAACTCCTGGAGCTGGCCCGTGCGCAAGAGGTCACGGCACAGCTACTCCGTGTCCTAGAGTCCAAGATGGACGCCTACCAGACGCACGTGCTCCACAGTGCCCGCAGCATTGACAAGAATATCGATGGCCTGGCCAGGCTGATCACTCGTACGGTCCTGCCGCAACTAAACGGCCTGAAGTGCTCCGTTGACAGCCTGGAGACATCGCAGATCAACGTGGAGGTGGAACTTAAGAGTTTGGCAGGCATTAAGGAGATAGGCGTCGATTCCATCCACAAGCTGGATGTGCTAGAACGTCAGCTGAAGGACCTGAATCGCACCCAGGAGGTTCGCCTGGCGGGATTGACCCACGCGGTGAAGCATCTGCAGCCGCTTGACTCGTGGAAGGTGGAAGGAGCCCTGCGCGAACTGATCATTTCCCAGAAGCGCATTGAACTCGATCTGGAGGAATGCAGCCATCACTCTCAGTCCTATAAATCCAGCTACCAAGTTGAGGCTTCAGCGCCGCACTATCCTCAGCAGCACCCTGAGCCGCATCATCAGCCTCATCCTCAGCCTCATCCTCAGCCTCGTCCTAAGCCTCATCCTCAGCCTCACCATCAGCCTTATCCTCAGCCTCAACCCCACCATCAGCCCGAGCATCAGCCTCAGCCCCACCATCAGCCTCAGCCCCACCATCAGCCCGAGCATCAGCCCCACCACCAGCCTCAGCCCCACCATCATCCTGAGCCTGAGCCTAAGCCCAAACGTGTTGACTTGGTGCAAGTTTGGAACGTCAATCATGGTAATTGATCTCACAATCTCCCATGAAGTCTAAATATTAATTACCCCAACCATTTCTAGGAGAGTATCCACAGACCAAGAGAGTATCGGCCTATGCCCAGTCCCCCGAGCCAAAGAAATCGCACTCCCAGTCCGGTCACAGCTCTAGCTCCTGGTGGGATTCATTGCCCTGGGAAACAGCCCCACAATATCATCCCGCTCCAGCTCCATGGAAGCCAGCTCCCGCCTCCACGCCCAAGCCCAAGCCGTGTCCCAAGCAAGAGCATGGCTACAAATCGCACTCCCATCCGGAACCATCTCCGAAGCAGCCTATCTTCAAGCCGCAGCCTGTCCAGCCTGGAGATTCCTACAGGATCTGGTACGAAGACGGTACATTGCCCCAAGGATATTAATTTTTTTGAACAAAACTATTCTGAAACAAAAATCGTAAAAACTCTTCCTCGAAAATGATATTATAATTATAATTTTACATTTTGATAAATAAATTATATTTAAAAAAATGAATTGGTTATTTTTAAAACGATGCAAAGCGTTAGATGTCAAATGTGTTTACTTCTTTCTTTTTTTACTCTTAAGTCCTTGCATATCACACTTGACCAGGATGGATATATGTACTTAGAAGAACATAGTTTTGTTTTTCATAAAATGTTACTCCAACTTTAATCTTTACCAAATTCTAGACAATATTATTTAAAGCTGCATTGCCAAAATGTATAACTAATCTAATAGATTTTATTATGAACATGTAAATAAAAAGCCTAAATATATCTTAATATGACAAAGAGAATAAATAATTTATTGTTATCAAAAGAAGCATGCAGTGAAATGTAGAAAACTATAATATAACAGAGAATGAGCTCAACTGTGAGATACCTGGTACCAAAAAGTATAGAACTATATTTATACAATTTGCTGGCGCACATTAAATAAAATAAATAAATGCACAATTAAATATACCTAAACTTTAATCAAATCAAACTGCATTTTCCCTGAAGACAACAGAACTGGCATGGCTAGATCGACTCGCCTGGTAATGCTGATCAATAATCTTTTTATTACCCTCCTGAATATTACTAAAATTTTCGATTGAGACCAAAATATCATACTTCTAAACCCGATAGGTAGCAATAACGCGTGCGGTGTATAAGTAAAATATTTAAAGCAATCTCTCTTTAGTTTTTAGACTGTTTAATCTTTTCTTGCTATACATCCTCATGTAGACCTATTTTCTGAATGAAATTTAAGAAATAGCGCATTTGGTCACGTCAGTTTTATCGTAGTACCAATTACATGCAAAAAAGACTAGTATCTCTCACAAAAGACCTATTTAGAAGCAAAGAAGAATTTTAGAACGTGCCAATTACAAAATTTCTCAAAGACCGCCAAAAAGTCGTTGAACCAAAATAAATGTCGTAAGACAAGGTGGAACATGGCTTGTTTATGATTTCTAGTAAGCCATCAGATAATGACCAAACATTTGTTTATATCTGCACGATAAATATGGAAACTGTAGGTCAACCTTGTTGAGTTGCTGGAATAGATAAAGATTAGAGCTATGTTTGCAGCTGCACCCACTACTGGACTATAGATTGAACCTAAGCATGTCGGAGACACGTTCCGGAAACTTTAGTTGGGCTACTTAAGGCACTGTTCGGATCGACACAAGACACACACTGCGGTTGAAGTTCAAAAGAGAAACACCATGAGAATCCAATTGCTTCTTGTAACGATCTACCTTTGCCTCTTCTGGCCCGCTTTCGCTCAGAATGCGTCCACGGATTCGAAGAAGCCTTCAGAGGCAGAGGCCGTTAAAGTCCTGAAGAAGAGCAACGAGGAGCTGGGCAAACTGGTCAGAATAGCGCTCGATGTGAACGACAAGAGCAAAAGTTTCGAGGAAAAGATAAAGGTTTTGAGGGACGAGGTCGAGCGCATTGCCGAATTGGACAAGGTACTCATCAAACTTGAAGAAAAGGTGGTCGACAGCTTCCAGGATACGTCCGCTGGGTTAAGAAATCTAACAGCCATTGTCACGGCAACCCAAAACCGTAACGAACAGGCCATTCAAAACCTCACCAAAGTGGAGCTAGAAGTGCGACATGCTCTGGGCCAGGTTGATGTCAACCAGAACAAATATGAGCACAATCTTAACGAAGTGGCCGCATCCATCACAACTCATTTGGCCGAGATCGAACAGATATTGAAGCAGGCCGTAATCAAAGAGCTCATTGGTTTGGATGGTAAGGTCAAGGTTCTGCACCAGCATCAGCGCAATATCGACGGTCAGTTGGGACATCTGGAGCAGCTTAACGGTCTGGCTGGCCGGGCCAACCACAAGTTGACTCAGCTGGAATGCGGCCTCACCTCGCTGAATAGCACCCAGTCCAAGAGCCTCAACAGTATTGAGAACACGGTTCGTGGAGTGCAAGTGGCAACCTTCCAGATCGATCAAAAGCTTGGCATCCTGCTGAACAACCAAAAGAACATCGACAAGACTCTAGAGCAGTGCAAGCACAGGCACCAGCCACACCAGCCCAAGCCCCACGAGATCTGGACCCGTTCAGAATACGCCCCCGATCACAAGTAAGTAGCAACCCAGCTCCGAATCCTCTCATTTTGATGATCCCGTTGTATCCGTCTTTTAGATTGCGGCCGGAGCAGAAGCCAGAATACCAACATAGCAGCTACGCTTCAGAGGAGGAGGCCGAGCAGTTGTACAAGCTCTGGTACGGCAAAGGTCAGCAGTAAAGGAAGACACGAGCTCAATAAAACCATAGGAAATTCTCTCTTCTACCTTTAAAAATAAATTAAATTCTTGTTTTACAAGGTTTCTTTAATTATACCCTTGAAGGATATTGTAAATATAGTAAAACGTTGGCATCGCAGTGAAAGTTTAACTTATACAATATATAAATTATATAAATTCTTGATCAGCAACAATCATGCATGTTATTCTTTACCGGTTCTAATGTATAAATCTTACAAAAGGTCTAATAAATGCACAAACATAACATCAGAGAAGATGGAACCGCGTCTCAAAGCTTTTTGGGGTCCAATGGATGCACCTGCCCATCTGACCTATCGAAGTTTATAAGCAGCTGCGATTGATGCTGGTTCCAGTGCTCCGAGCGATGAAGTTTTCCATTGGCCTTTGACCGAAAGTCTTCAACTGACAATCCAGTCTCAATTTTGTCATTGCTAGCATCCGGATCGGAGGGATACGCATCGTCGCCAGGCAACAGATGCACAACTCCGTTTTTGCATTTGTACATTACAGGATGAATCAGGTCGATGCCTTTTTCGGAACGATTTTCGGCAAACTGCCGTAAATCATCCAAAGAGGGAAAGTTTAGGCAACGAGATAGCTCATAGAATTGAGGTGGCGGCAACCAGAGCTCCTTTCTCAGGCAAGCCTGAAGGTAATCCAAGGGGGATCGCCACGCACAGTCCTTGACCTCATTCGGTTCGATGTGTACACTGGGCTCCTGCTCTAGGGCTGCCACAAAGAAGGCAGTTTCAAAACGCTTCTTGAATGTGGACGGTGTGCGCCAGACAGACCAATCGTGCAGGGACCACACATCGGGCAGCACTTCCAACTCCTGGCAGAGCGTCAGGAACTTGCTAGCGTCGTTATGGACGACATGCTGCCAGTGGGCTCGATCGAACTGCTCGTGAAACTGTCCGAAGCCGCTGGTAGAGGTCAGAGATTTACTGTCCCGACACAGCAAGATGCCTAGTTCCTCAAAGGTTTCTCTTATGGCAGTCAGGCGCAAGGACAGGGAGCTATAACAAACGCAAGAAGTTACAGGAATGATTTTCCAGGGAGTCACTCTACACAATCTTACGGATCCATGCCCTCGTTATCAGCTTTAGCCTTGAAAATCTCCGGTCGCGGCCCCTTCACTTGGCTTAATTCCTGCAGCTTGGCTGAGCTGATTTGGCTTCGCTTGAAGTGCTCCAGCCAAGAGGAAGAGCTGTCCGTGCCATCACATACGCCACCGGGAAACACCGAAGACTCGGGCATGAAGCTAGACTTTGGGGTACGGGTCAGAAGCAGGGCCTAATAATGCAATTAACAAGATAAGTTAAGGTTTAGCTTTAATTTAATGGTATATACATTGTAGTCGAAGGACTTGGGCTTCACATCCTGGTTTCTGGCCAGCAGAATAAGGCTGGAGGACAGCCGGATTTTTGGCAACACCTGCTTGGACATTGCTCGTTTAGGTAACTGAGAGCGATAACGATTTCGATTGGGAGGCATTATCGATTGCTAGTCAGCTGTTGTTTACACTTTAAAGCGCATACCTGTTGATTATAGAGTATATTTGTGTATATATAGCAGGGACCATAAGTGAAAAAAAACAATGTATATATAATGATTATCTATTGATTTCAATTTTTCAATATTATAATTTTATATTATTTAATCTCTCAAAGTATAATTATTATTATAGGGTATCCACAGGTCGACTTCCTCTGACAGGGGGAGTGCTAAAGAGCAAAGGTTTAAAGATTAAACTTTAAAGTTTGGATCAGGGATTAGTGCGGCTGCAAACAATGGTAGCTCCTTCTCAGAAAAGCGCTTACAGGCCTTCCGCTAGTCTAATACTGGCTGCCAAAGACGATTCCAACAAGGAATACGACTACAGTGTGAGTTAAACAGTTTGACCCGAGGTACAAAGATAAACTCGACCAACTCGTTTACTATCCTTCAAGTTACTTTTGATCAAACGCGCGGAGGGCACTTCCTATACCCTTAATCACTGCGTCTTCCCTGGAGGTGTGTTTGATCCCCGAGATGATGAGTCTCCCGAATGGTTGAGATATTTCAGCTCCTTCGGGATAACCGCTGAGCAGTTGAAAATACTTACCCACGATCAGCAATCGCCCAGGCCGGAGTTTCTCTCTGGCGGGCAGCACCTTTCCAAGGACATCGCCCTAAGGTTGACTGCCCTCAGAGAAGCCTTCGAGGAAGTGGGAATCCTGATATGTGTGAGCCGTGATTCCTTTAATAACTGGGATAGCACGGCAAAGGGGCTGCCACCACGGGCTTTGCTCTTGGACCCCATCAGCGATCGCACCGAGTGGCAGCGTCGTGTTCACAATGATGCCTCGCAATTTCTGGAGCTGTGCAAGCATCTCAATGTAATACCCAACCTGTGGGCCCTTCACGAATGGTCTGTTTGGCGAACAGCAGCCACGGCCAATCGAAAATACGACACGGTGTACTATGTTACCACGCTGGACAATGATGCCAAAGAGGTGAGCCTGCTTCTGGAACCACACGAGGTAGCTTCAGCCCATTGGATGAGCCCAAAGGAGGCCTGGTCCCGCTCCCAAGACGGCACCATCTGGCTTCCTTTCATGCTGCTCTACGACACGGCTCGCCTGATGAATTTGCACCGCTGGCAAGAGCTCGCCGACTTTTCCCGCCATCGAAGCATCTGGGGCGGCACAATGGTGCAGCCCGTCTACTATCGCTGTGATGAGTGCATGTTTGGAGTGCTTCCCGGGGATGAACTGTATCCAAACGAGCCTGGCGCTTGCACACAAACTATCATTCTGTCGGGGTCGTTGAATGACCAACACCGAAAGGCCAAGCGATACAACCGCTATATCATCTACGATTTCCATAAGGTAGTGCTCGCTTGTAATGTTCCGCCCATCGATGGTCATCTGCAGCTGCAACCACTGGTCAACACAAAGTTGGCAAAGTTATAGTGTGGAAAATATATATTTTATGTTTAATAACAACTATATACCGCTGTCCAACTCCATCTGTATGCGGTGGCAAGCGTGGCACAGGTCATTCTGCGACTCCAGCCGCTTCCTAGCCAGTTCTTCGAGATCTTCGCCGTTCTTGTGGAGAGACACGCCCGCCTCGGACACCGAACGCGAATACTCGATGGCCAGGAGAGTGTCTGAGAGTTGGGAATCCAGCGCAGACTGGCAGTGAAAACAACTGGCCTGCTCGGGATGCGTATTGGAAGTAATTTTGTCACCAGTCCGAAAAACCGTGGATACAGTGGAGGCATAGTTTTGCTGCAGGTTGGTTACGAACGCCGACGTCAGGTTCTGCAGGCTAGCAGTCTCTCCTCGCTCCTGGCCATACCGGAGCCTACCCTTGAGTAGTGGCTTAAGTCGCTGGGCATGAACATAGAACTGTACCTCCTGTTCGTTGAGGTCTTTAAGGGGTCGCAGAAGTTTGACATCGCCGCCGGCCAGTCGATCGTCCAGAAGAGCCACATCCAAGGCGGCACTGCCACCTCGTCCCAAGGCGATGGCCGTCAGCAATTGGGTGGCCAAATCCACACTTATACTGGATTCAAAAACATGACTGCAGTGGAGCTGCTGGGCCACCGAAGCAATGAGGTTCTTGCGCTCCTGCTGCAGGTAATCCTGGCGAGCTGTAAGGCTTCGCAGTTTTTCCAGCTTAACGCCAAGCCTGTTGATTTCTTCGGCAGAGGTGGGAGAGTAATCCTTTATATTCCGTAGCGAGCTTGGCGGCGCCCCCAGTTCTATCACATGGAATTCGAAGGGTTCGTATTGCCGAGACAATGCCTGAAGAGATTCCACATCCACAGGATCGCGCTCCTGCAGTGCTTGGTCCTCCACGTAGACCACACGAGCATTGCAATGGAGTCTTTTGAATGTGTTCTGCGTCTGGGCGAAGTGTAGCATATCCAGAAGCACAAGGGACTCAGCAGAGCCATCGAGTACGAGGAGGACCTCTGCATCCCGGGGCAGAACTTTGGCTGCGCCCAGCGCTGCCCGGAACTTGTGCCTCACATAGGTGAGGAAACAAGCACGGCACTCCGGCGTCCGGAAGTTCAGTTTGTACAGTTCGGAGGATGATGTGCCACATTTGGTGCAGTCCCCTGTGCTCAGAACTATGCCAGCGGGCAGGGATTCCGCCACCATGGCATGGGCGCCACCCTCGTCGCCGAAATCATCTTCGCCGATACTGCACATGGCAACTATTTACACGAATTTCACATCAAAACGAAATGGCCAGGGATGGGATCACAGTTCAAAGTGGCTAGTGATGCTCAAATATCTTTAATCACAACGATCAAAAATTAATGGAGCAAGGGAAATTGATAATACAAGTCGTTCATTTTACACAAATATCCTTTTATATTACACATTCGGAATATTAGTAAAATATAGTAGACCTTTTTTGACCACAGAAACTTTAGCTATTTTTGTAAACAATAGTGGGTAGTGGGTATCGGCCACCAACTATCGATACCGTTTATCGACTACGCAGCCCAGACTCGTCAAAAAGCAACCTTGCAACAGGAAAAGCAGTGAAAAATACAAAAATAGCTGTTAAAACTACAATTACTTGTACAAAAATTATTGATAAGTTAAATTTAAGCCAAGAGGTATGTGCCAAAAGTGATGGTGTGACAAAATTTGATCAATAAGTCTCTCAAATTTGGGCGCAAAAAACTGGGTGCTTCTGGTGGGACATCTGTGAATGCCTGTGCCTGTGTGAGTGTGTGTTTCGCGTACGTCTGTGTGTGTGTGGTTCGTGCTTCTCGTACGCAAGCAAAAAGTATCGGGTAGCAAAATCGAGAAACTTTCTTATTGACGATAGCCGAGCGAACAAGAAGAAGCAGCTGTCATTTGATTAAAAAGGGGCAAAAGAACCCGAAAAGTCGGCGAAAAGCAAGCTAATCGCTGTCATCTACTTACAGCGGATTGCAGCAGAAGTCGTTTGAGCCCTAGAGCAGAGCGGAATCGTCATCATCGAAGCAGAGCGACAGAGGTCATCTTATAAATACATTTTTCGGGCGTGTGTGCATGTGTGCGGCCCTCACCCCGAGAACTATTAACCCCCTACCCAGAGCAGAGCCAAGACCAACGCAAGCAGCAGCCACCAACAATAGCAGCAGCAGCAAGCAGTAGCATCTAACCCGCCTCAGCATGATACTGGAGAACTCCGACAAGCTCAAGGACTGGCTGAGCGTGGTCTTGGAGCCACTGTAAGTAGCAGACCCGTCATCTTCTGATTTTTTGATTCTATTGACCGATCCCTTCCCCTTTTCCGGCACAGTTGCGATGCGGACTCCTCGGCCTTGGCGCGCTACGTTATCGCACTCCTCAAGAAAGACAAATCGGATAAGGATCTCAAGCGGATCATGATCGAGCAGCTCGATGTCTTTCTGTCCGAGGAAACGACACGCTTTGTTGAACGGTTGTTCGATGCCATCGCCAGCGAGGAGTACCTGACGCTGCCCGCCCCACTGCCATCAACGGCCAATAGCGCCGCCGCCGCTGCCGCTGAGCTGGATCTCGACCATGAACTGGCCTTGGCCATTGACGGGGCACACGATGACATCGAGGCCGTGCTGGCCGCCGATTCTCCACCGCCTCCGGCACCTAAAGACAATGTGATAACCCCGCAGAGCAATCCGGCGGCGTTGGAGCAAGTGAGCCACGATGCCAGGGAAGCTGAGGCGCTTGCCTTCGTTAGCCAGGAAGGTGGCTTTGCCCCGAACTCATCTACAGATGCCAAGACAGCCTTCGATGTGAGTATTATTTATCCGAAATGCATTAATAGCATTATTAATATCTTCTTGCTATCATTTCTTGCAGCAGAAAACCAAAGAGTCCCACAATCTACAGTCCGCCTCCTACCAACACCAACATCATGTACGTAGCGCTAGTCCACATGCCGCCAGAAGCAGTGGGAGTGGAGGTGGAGGCGTGGCAACAGGCCTGGTGACTGGCTATGCCGACAAGGAGAACCAACCACGCGACAGTCGCCGGCGACGTGCTTCCCTGCGATCTCGGTCCCGTTCACGCTCGCGGTCCAATGAGCGTGCCTTTCGCCGCTCCAGGTCCCGCGACCGGCGTGTGAACGAGCGCGAGAAAACCCAGCGCCAGTTCCGCAATAAATCCCCGCCAGGCTCTCAGACTGATAACCGCCACGGTCACGGGCGGCGCAACTTTGACCGCCGCCGCATCGGTGGAGGCAATAATGCGGACGAACGGCCACGCTTTGGGAACAACAAGAGCCGGCGGTCGCACAGCCGATCCATGTCACCCGAGCGAAACTCACGACGGAATCAGCAGAGCTCACCGGATCGAGGACAGGCTGCTGGACAAGGAAATCAACAAGTACCCGTTCCAGTGGCACCGCCCCCACCCGTAGAGCATCCAGCTGTTCTCCATCCCCGGCAGCGTTGTCGTGATTTTGACGAGAAGGGCTACTGCGTAAGGGGAGAGACGTGCCCCTGGGATCACGGTATCAACCCAGTGGTTTTCGAAGGCATCAACAATTCGGCCCTTATGATGTCCATGCGAGAGTACAATCCAGATGCGCCCGAGATTTGGGCGCGAGGAGGAGGACCGCCGCCAGGACCTGGAGCCCAGGGAGCAGTGGCGCCACCAGCACCGGGTCCCGGACAAACCACCATTAATCCATTCACCGGTAATGTGCGACCCAACACACTAATGAGCGGCGGAGCAGGTCCAAATCCAATGGGCGTGCCTAATCCCGCCGACTATGCGCGTAATCCGGGCGGACCACCTCCACCACCCGCAATGATGCCATTCCCCTTCAATCCTACGGCGGTGACAACACCACTCCAGCGCCAATTGATACCTATACCTGTGGTTGATGGTGCCCCCGCCTCGGGTGGCGTGGCAGAGATAGGAAAGCGTCGATTCGAGCTAGAGGATTCCGTGGCCATTGCAGATGTACCAACGAAGCGCAAAGTGCCGATCAACAGCCGACTCGGTCCACGGATCAATCCCAATATGCAACAGCACAACAGCTCGCTGGAGTTGAGGAAGGTGCCGCGCGGACTGAACACCATCGCCCATTTGAACAATCACTTCGCCAAGTTCGGCAAGATCGTCAACATCCAAGTCTCGTACGAAGGCGATCCCGAGGCAGCCATAGTCACCTTCTCCACGCACGCGGAGGCCAATGTGGCATACAGGAGCACCGAGGCGGTGCTCAACAACAGATTTATCAAGGTTTTCTGGCACAACGACAGCAGCGGTGTGGATGTGGGACAGCTGAATCCGATGGGTAGCGGCGGAGGAGGTGGCGGCCGAAAGAATGCGAGCCAGTATCATTTGCACAACGTGCCCGCCGTGCCCACGCCGAATGCCGACGGTGCAAAGATCACCAATGCTAATCCTTTGACCGAGGCTGGTGCGGCTAACAACAATGCCACGCCAGCGACAGAACAGCAGGCCAGCACGGCGGCTCCTGCATCTATGCGTCTGAAGCTTAACACAACGACAGGAGCAACGGGTGGAACGGGAGCAGTTGCTGGAACTCCAGGTGGAGCAGCTGCGGGCCGTACCTTGAATCCGGCTGCTAATGCCGCTAGCATACGCAAGAAGAAGGAGGAACAACAGAAGGCGGTGCATCAGCTGGCAAACGGGCTGCGCAAAAGGAAACAGGAGCTGCTACAGAGCTATGTCAAGCAGGTGAAGACTGCTCTGGAGCTGGTTGAACGGATGGACCCCAATGATGCTCAGCGACCACTGACTCTGCGGACAATCAAAGATCTGCAAGAGAACATTGACAAGCTGAGCAAGGATGTCCATGCCGATCAGGATCAGCTGCAGGCGCAAATTCAGCAACAACAGCAGCAGCAGCAACCGCCCGTTAAGAAGACCAAGGAGCAACAGAAGAAGGAGTTGCTGGACATGGAGCTGGAATTGATTGCCCAGCAGCAGGAGGGTAACGACACAACGGCCATACAGAAGCGATTGGAGGAGCTGCAGAGAAATCTGGGTGGAATCGTGGGTGGACCCCTAGCCGCGCACAACAATAGCAAGTCGCCGCATTTTGGAGCCTCTTCGGGAGTAGCAGGCGGTGCCGGTGCAGGACGCAAGCGGCCCAACTTGCCGGAAGGACCGACGCGAGTCGATCGAAGACCAAAAGCCATCGTGGTCACTGGATTTGCGGCCGAAGAGGCGGACTTTGTCCTGGGGCACTTCAAGGTAAGTGCGGTCTCTATATAAAACCTGGAAATATGCGAACTGGTGCAGTTTTTCAATACACTTTTCTCTGCTTTTGTTTTACAGAATTTCGGTGAGATTTCCAAGCATGATGTAGACCGTGAGATTCCACAGTTAATACTCTCCTATGCGACCCGCCTCAATGCTGAGCAGGCCGTGCTCCGTGGCAAAATGTACAAAGACAAGCTCCTGCAGGTGAGAGAAGAAAAAAAGGAAGGGAGAAAGGACTTTTTCTAGATAAATCTCATGATTACAGATTTCCTGGGCGCCTGTGGTAACACCAACGACACCTGCTCCAATGGCAGCCCCGCCTGTTGAGAAGTCTTCGGCGCCAGAGAATCCCAAACAGTTGATTCAGTCCGTCAGCGAGAGCGAGAGCCTGTTGGGCAGCGACACGCTTCCGGAGCTGCGTCTGGAGGATGAAGAGGAGGATGAGGAGTCCGAGGATCGCTCTTGGCGCCGTTGATGCACCGCCCTGCGCTGCTAAGGCAGCAGCCAAGTGGCTCACAATTGTTAGGAAGTCCTTAACATGTGTTTGTTGTTATTCTATATCTAAATGTGGTGGAGCGTGCTGCGGTGGTGCGTAGAAACAGAAGCCTAGCGATGCACTCGCCGCACCTCCAGCGCATGATTAAAAACGCTCTAAATATTACTAATATTTTAAATGAACATAAATTATGAATCGCCTACAAAAATACGAATGAGTTTTTAGCTAAGCCTAAGTCCGAAGTAGAAACACTAATCCTAAAACAACAATTCAACTGCGAAATGCGAACCAACAACTCCACAGCTCTGTGCGAAGCAGCGCTGGCAAATCATTGGTCAAACACCGCGTGAACTACTCTTTGTATTTACACATTTTTCACTCTATCCTTTTCTTATATACAAATATATATATATACATATATAGATGCATATATATAATTGTTAAGATTTTATGTTGAGTTAAAAAACGATAAAATACTAAAAGAACACAAAAAAATTGCAAAAGAAAAAGAACCCCAAAAACAAGCGCAATGAAAATAAGTCAAAAGAAAAAGAAAAAAAATATAGCAACGTGAAAGATAAAACAAACCGCAAAGTTATATAGAGAGATATATAATAAATAAAGTAAATAGTTTCGTATTTCAGGAAGTCAATAAAAGCTTTTTACTGTGGGTCAAGGGTGGGAATATCAAACATTTCTTACATATTTTTAATGTCCTGCGACTTCTCGAATTAATTCATTGTTGCAAAGGAAAAAACCTTTAAAAACCATTAAAACTTTTAAAAACGTAATAAATATTCATCATTAATTTCTAATTTTAGTGTTTTACACATTTTATAGATCGATATTTGTATTGATATAATAACTTTTTGTTGTTTCTAATATTTTATACGACAAATTTTTAAATACAATTTCATTGATTAGTTTACAAGGACAGACAATGGAGTTCGGAATGCAAAAATAATGAAAGAGCACAGCACTAATCATAATTATAAACCATATAAAATATTTGAACCTTTTCCACGATATATAACTTTATCGATAACATCGATTCTGAAAATATGGCATAATTAAAACATGATGTATCGATAGTACCTATTGTTAAGTGGTTGACTCATCTCTAGCCTCCTTATTTTTGACGGTGGCGCGATTAAATGATTTTACTTAGAATTTCGTTGAATGGTAGTGTTCCTAAGATGTTTCCGCCCAGTCTACGCCGCACAGAGACGTTGCTGCGCTAATCAAACCAGGGAGATGAAGTTCCTCAATGTGGCCGAGAAGAACGATGCGGCCAAGACGATTGCCGGACTGTTGTCCCAGGGTGCGGCGCGTCGGGTAAGCAAGCGGAATGGAAGGATTTGTGGAATAAGTGGCTTAGTCTTCCATTTCCCACGCAGCGCGAGGGATACTCGGTATACAACAAGGTGTACGACTTCGAGGCGCCAGTGCGCGGCCAAAATGCCAAGATGGTCATGACCTCCGTCTCCGGCCACCTGATGCAGCTGGAGTTCCCGGTGTCCTACCGCAATTGGCGCATCGTTGATCCCCGCGTGCTTTTCGATGCGCCCGTGAAGAAGAGTGTCGGTTCGGACTATCAGCCCATCAAGCGGACATTGGAGCGCGAGGTGCGCGGCTGCCAGGGCCTGATCATCTGGACGGATTGTGATCGAGAGGGCGAGAACATTGGCTACGAGATTATCGACGTCTGTCGTGCCATTAAACCGAATCTGACGGTTTATCGGGCCAGCTTCTCGGAGATCACAACGGCGGCAGTGCGCCGGGCTCTCCAGCAGCTGGGCCAGCCGGACAAGCGGCAGAGCGATGCAGTGGATGTGCGCAGCGAGCTGGACCTACGCACTGGGGCAGCCATTACCCGCTTCCAGACAATGCGCCTGCAACGGTTGTTCCCCGAGAAGATAGCAGATAAGCTCATATCCTACGGAAGCTGTCAGATCCCCACTCTGGGGTTCGTCGCCGAGCGTTACAAGGAAGTGGAGGCCTTTGTCTCTGAGCCCTTTTGGAAGATCAGAGGTAATAAGATACCGACCACAAAGATCCCAAGTAGTCATTGACTTCTTTTACAAGTTCTCCACACGATTGATGACCTGACGGTGGAGTTCAATTGGGCTAGGAACCGTCTATTCGACAAGGAATCTTGCGAGAACTACCTGCTGCTGTGCCTCTCAGAGCCCGCTCCGCGTGCTCTTGTGGAGAGCGTTACGGTCAAGCCGAAACACAAATGGCGCCCCACGCCAATGGATACGGTGGAAATGGAAAAGCTCGGCTCTCGCAAGCTGAAGCTGTCGGCCAAAGAGACGATGACCATTGCTGAGAAGTTGTACAGCAAGGGTTTCATCAGCTATCCCCGCACGGAGACGAACCAGTTCTCCAAGGAGTTCGAGCTGGCGCCCCTGGTCCAGATGCATACGGGTCACCCCGAATGGGGAGCCTTTGCCCAGCGGGTGGTCGACTGGGGTCCGAATCCACGCAACGGCAGCAAGTCGGATCAGGCGCATCCCCCCATACATCCCACCAAGCCGGCAGACAGTAAGTAGATCCCCGGGTACCGCTTTAATCTTGACTTACATTCCATTTCTCGTAAGATTTGCAGGGGAACGATGCTCGGGTCTATGAACTGGTGGTCCGGCATTTCCTAGCTTGTGTCAGCAAGGATGCCATCGGTTCTGAAACCCTGGTACACATCGACATTGCCGGCGAGAAGTTTACGGCCAACGGCCTGGTCATTCACGAGCGCAACTACCTTGACGTTTATGTGTACGAAAAGTGGAACGCCAAGCAGATCCATCACTACGAGCAGGGGCAGCGCTTCGAGCCGACAGAGGTGTCGCTGCACGAGGGTGCTACCACTGCCCCCCCTTTGCTGACGGAGGCGGATCTGATAGCTCTGATGGAGAAGCACGGAATCGGAACGGATGCCACGCACGCGGAGCATATCAATACGATCAAGGAACGTGGCTACATCGGAGTGTTGGACAAGGGGGCTTTGGTGCCGGGTGTTATTGGGATGGGACTCTACGAGGGCTATGATGCCATGGAACTGGCTCTGGCTAAGCCCCAGTTGCGCGCAGAGTTCGAATCGGACCTAAAACTCATTTGTCAGGGTCAAAAGGATCCCAAGGTGGTTCTGATGGAGAATATAGCCAAGTATAAGCAGTCCTACCAGCAGATTACCGACAAGGTCACCGCCATGGACACGAAGATAGCGGCTCGTATTAACGAAACTCCCGCGGCGAATCCCCCGAACCAAGAATCGGAAAGCGATCATATGCAAATGCTCTTCAAATGCCCCAAGTGTAATGAAGGCACCTTGGCTTTGAAGGCCAAGAAGAACCAGCAGGGCTGGTACATCGGCTGCACCAACTTTCCCGACTGCAAGAATGTTGTCTGGCTGCCCATGGAATGCAAGGATGTGACCGTTTTGGATGAGTGCTGTCCGAGCTGCGGCGATACACACCGTCTGCTCAAGTTCCGCCTGAGCACGCCCTACTATCGCGGCGTGTTCAACACTCCAAGTGGCTGGTACAAGACCTGCCTGCCCTGCGACAATCTCTTCCGCTCCACGTTCAACATTAATTTGGATTCTGTAAAGAGAGCAGGCCGTATTGTGGGAGAGGCAGGAAGTGGGGGAGACTGGCGACCAGGACCGGGAGGAGGTGGTGGCGGAGGAGGAGGAAGTGGCGGAGGCGGAGGAGGAGGAGGAAGTGGCGGTAGCGGAGGAGGAGGAGGAAACTCAGCTAGTTGGGGCTCCTTAGGTTCTGGTCCTCCTCCAACTAGAAAGCCAAATAAGCCCATTGATGGCGGACCCAAGAAACCACCAGGAAAAACCAAGAAACCACCAAAAGCCGAAACAAAACCCAAAAAAGGCCCAAAATCCAGTAACAGCTCTTCCACTGGCGTCACCATTCGCAGCTACTTTAGTTGTGCGGCTGCCAACTCACCCTCCACCGAACTGGATGGCTTCTTTGACAGTAATGATGGCTTTGAGGAGGCCATGCTGGCTGCTGTGGACTCTGTGGACACCAGTACAAGCACGACTCAGCCACAAGTCGCCAATCCCATAACCCTGGATGACGACATAGCCGCTGCCTTTGCCGCAGATGATGATGCCGAGTTTGAGGCCTTGGTGAATGGCAACACTCAAAATGATGAGCGTCTGGACATGAGTCTGTCGGACTGGATGAAGGCACAGGACGAAGTGAATGAGAAGCCTATGGTGTGGGGTAGTCGAGCCCGCTCAGCCGTCGCTACTCCAGCATCCACACCGCCTCCGAAACCAGTAGCTAAACGTCCTCGCTTAGACAGCACCGAATGGGATAGGCCTACCACTGGGTCTGCCGATCCTGAAGCAGTGCTGTGCACAGGATGTCATCAGCCGGCTCGTCAACACACCGTGCGAAAGGATGGTCCCAACCAGGGCAGGCAGTTCTACAAGTGCCCCAAGTCCAACGAGTGCAAGTTCTTCCAATGGGCTGATGAGGAACAAGCACCAACTTCATCGAGACAACCCACGCAGAGCAGCAGCACCAATGCCACCTCCTGGGGCACAAATCGTGTCGTTACTCTGCCAAGTCACCAGGAGAGAAGCCACCAAGGTGGCGTCATGCGCTCCAACTCAAGCAGCACTGTCACCATAACTCAAACCAAGACGAAGACGAAGACCACGCAAAACCATGGAGAGGAGGAGGTCAAGTGCAACTGCGGACAGGTAGCCAGCAGTCTTATTGTGCGCAAGGATGGACCCAACCAGGGCAGGCCCTTCTTTGCCTGTTCCACGCGGGAGAAGTCATGCGGCTTCTTCAAGTGGGGCGATGAGGATCAAAGCCAAGGTACCAGCAGCAGCAGCAGCGCTTCCTGGGGATCGGGCAATCGAAAACCGCCAGCAGATTCTTCTGAAAAGACAGGGAAATCGCGTCGCTGTGGCCTTTGTCGCCAGGAAGGGCATACTCGCAATAAATGTCCGCGAAAGAATGACTTTGATATGTAGGTAAAAACCGCATAAAGTTGGAGGAAAATTAGAATTTTCTGCATAAGAAATTGCACATAGTGAAAACAAATTTGTTGACAAAGGTTTGTTTTTTTCTAAAATGTAAATAAGGTTCATAATAACGATTATTCGTTATATAGTATTTAAGGTGAAACAGAAATATATTTGGAAACATATTTGTATATTTTTTAAAATGAAGTTGATTGATTTTATAGAATTTTATAGAATTTAAAATTTGTAAAAGCCCGAAGTACACACCAACATAAGAGTTAACATCTTGTCCAACAGAAAAATATAAATTTGTTAAATTTGAATGTATAATTTAAAACATTTATTGGAGCTTACAATATTGCATAGATGAGATGGGGATTAGGGTCAGGATCGAGAGTGTTTGCTCCCATAAAAACTTACTATATAGCGAGCAAATCGGATATGTAAAATACACACACACACAGATATTATAATTTATTTACAAGGTATATAAACTATATCCTAAATAGTTTTTATATCGTTATATAAGCGCAACACGGAAATGAACATAAATATTTAAAAAGCTTTCTTTTTGAAGAAATAAAATTCGTTTGGAAACACTTACACATGTTATATACTTTTGCTTGTTTTTCTGGTGTAAAATTGCATTAAAATATAAATAAATAAATATTATAGTAAATTACTGAACAGTTTTGAGATGCATTGGAATGGTAGCGAGTCTTTGAAAAAATATTAAGTACAATTAGGGTAAATAAAATTAAATATTGAGCCTAAAATACGGGCAGTATGAAAAATATGCATTCTCGGTTTAGGAATGAGTTAAGCTTAGGACTACATCTAAAACATTCATATAACTTTCTGTTGGAATGACGTTTTTTGGGAAGCCAATTATTTCCGATTTTATATTCTACTTCCTTTAGGTCTTGCATTCGGAATGTTTGATCAACGACTTTATAATAACAAGCATTACACATATCATATTATGAACGCTATGCATCTTGCTATTATTATTGATCTTTGCCTTGATCTTTCAGCCTAATTCCATGGACACATATTCTCCACTGGAAGTTTACATTTACAGGTACATAATATCGAACTTCAAAGTACTTTTAGGTATTTCATAATAAATATATAGGTTTTCTAAAACATTTTCACTTTTTCCTATCTTATTTAGAGGAATGTATATTAATTGCAATGTGAAAAATACGTGTCGCTGAATTTAGGCATTGTGATTTCAGATTTTAGATTTCGACTTCTGGCGAGAATTTGCGTCAGAAGTAGATCTCCTCCTCCTCAGGCTTGGCACGCGGTGCCGTGCCGGATCCCAAGGCCAGGCCTCCCGTCCCCACTGCCGTTCTGGCAAACGTTCCAGCCCGGCTACTCGTCGGCGTTCGCTGCGTATAGTGGGCAGCGCTGGATTCCGCTCGAGCTATGCCGCTTGAAGTGGGCGTGGTAGTTGCTGTAGTCGTTGTCTGCTGAATAATGGCCGGCGAGCTGCCCGTACGCGAGTGTTGCGGCACTAATCCCGAATTCGGCGTCGGGGTCGTTGTGGCATTTGAAGGCGTGGTGACAACATTCCTTCGGTCCGCCAACTTGAGTGGAAAGATTTGCTGAACACAGCCAATGGTAGACGCTGCCGGCGAACTGTGGGTGCTGTTGAAGCTGGCGGACTTGTCCACACGGGAGGCGGAACTAGAGCTCGCCGACGAGAGCGATGAGAGCTTCATGGGCAGCTTCTGTTTGACAAGTGCGGCGTTAGCCTTGGGTGCATTATTCGCACTGAGCAAATTCACAGGCGGTGTCTTGCAGCTGGAGGGACCGCTTAGCCACTTCTCCTTGCGCCGGTCCACAGTCCCAGCCACACTGGGAGTGCTGCTGCCTGCCATGTCCGTTTCATGGCCGTCATCGGACACTGGAGCAGTTGGTAGGGTGTGACTGGGGGCCACCAGGGGCACGGGTAGCGGAGTGCTGGGCGAGAGTAGCAGGCCCTGACTCGATAGCAGTTCCATTTTTTTGTACAATTGCTCGCGCTGCTGACGCACATCCTCCTGCTCGGCCTTGATCTGCTGCTGCAACTGCAGTTGCTGGGCCCTCATGTCGGCCAGCTCCTCCTGCTGCTGCTTCTGCTGACGATGCCAGACTGTCTTCTCCTCCTGCAGTTTGTCCTGCAAATTGCGCAGCTCCTCCAGCTGATCCTTGTGCGTGTAAGCACTCGTCCGGGGACTCTCCCGGTAAAGGGCCAACTGCTGTTGCAGGCTGTGGATGCTTGTCATTTGCTGGGAAATAATGCAGAGCAAGGTGTGCAGATGATGGGACACCTGGAGCACGGCATAGTTGTTGTTCTCCAGCGACTGCTGCTCGGCTGCCATTGCGCCCGACGTTGAGCTGCTCTTCGAGTCCCGCTTCTCTTCTTGCAGTTCCTGCAGGCGTGGCGTGAGCACCAGCTTTGAGCCAAACTTTCCACGCTTTTCATCGAATCCCGCAAAGGTTTCCGCTCGCTTCGGCAGCGTGGGTGACGCATACTGGTCGCTTTGCTTCTCGCCCACGCTGCTCAGAGTTCTGGACACCGGTTGACCCATGGCCGCCGAGTAGATGGTGGACGCCAATTGGCTTATGTCCTGCACTGTGTTGAGCACCCGCCGCCAGAGCTCGGCCGTGTCACAGTCGGCGGTAACGAGATCTTTGTAGGAGCCGAAGGCAGCTAGGAAATTGGCTGCACTGCCATTGGCGGAGGAGGAGGAAGAGCCGGGAATGACATCCCCGAACGGTTTCTGATCCTTTAACAAATTCAGCTGCAGCATCAGCTTCTCTTCGAGAAGCAGCGCCTGCTCAATGTCCTTCTGCCGCATCTTCTCAATCGTTTCCCTCTTGTTTACGCCAATGCGCAGTTTCTCCTCTGCCGTCAGATCCTCGGCCTCGATGATGTCCGTGGCGGGGCAGTCGAGAACGGCCTGGCGAATGGTCTGTATCCATGTGTTCTTATCCTTCGGTGTCTGCACCTTCAGCTCGTACATTTCGGGAAAATCGGGATTCGAGCTGATGATATATATTCCCCGGGACTCAGTGCCCGCCTTCTCCCTGATAAGCAGCTTCTGGAGCGGCACCACCCCCGCCTTGTGTTCCGGCGTGAAGAAGGTGTACTTGTTGTGGCCGGAGTTTTCGCTGAGGAAGCACAGACAGTCGGTGAGCACCACCACTAGAACCAGCTGGGTCTTGGCTCTGCCCTGCATCAGGGTGGCCAATCCATCGAACTTCAGACGGCGTCGCGATTCCACACCAAGTTCAGACTTGCGGAAGGGCTTGTTCTTGTAAATGGCAAAGGACTTGGCATCCACCCGGCCATAGATCTCAAGCTGTCGCTCCCGCAGCTCCTTTTCTGCCACACAGGCATCGACGTCGACTAGAAGCGATTTGACCAGGTTTAGGGCATGCTGCAGTTTGTCCGTCTCCAGCTTGTTATCCTTGGCGCTCTTCAGCAGCGGCTCGATCAACAGGGGGTACTTGGTGAGGCGCTGAGTCACGAACAGTATGCACTCGGGGATGCCCTTCTTCTTCAGCAGCGGATTCTGCAGGCAATGCTTGTACCACTCGGCGAAGCTCGGATCCGTCAGACAGAGCTTGAACTGCTCCAAAGCGGTGCGGTGGTTGGCACAGAACTCGCCGTACGCCAGCCTCAGGCACTGAGCCTGCTCCAGTGAGAAGAAGTCCAGCAGGATGTCAGCAATGCTGTCGACCATCGGTTGCTCCCGCTGCTTGAGGCGCAGCTGACGCAGGAAGCAGGTGTGGAGATCGGTGAGCTGCTGCAAGCGTGGAAACATACCATTGAGATTGAGGGAGGGAAAGTGTCGCTCCAAGCTCTCCACAAACACCTTCTGCATGACAATTAGGGTCTGGCAGTGGTGCTTCTCGGTCATGATGAACTCATAGATGTGCTCCTGCCGCTTAATCTGCAGCTCCTTGAGGGTCTTGAGCAGCTCTTTGGGCACATTCGGGGTCCAGGAGTCGTGCTCCTTGAGAACTATGCCCAATGTGGGATCTGCCCCCAAGTGCTGAGCCTCGATGGGTGGTTCGTTGAGGAACTGCAGGTCAGATCGTATCAGCGGCTGATCCTCTGGATTGCTAAAGGTGGTAGCGGCATCTGGACCGTCATAATAGTCCTGGCCGGCTGCCATTTTCCTTATCCGGTTGCACTCCAAGTGGTGCTCCTTTATCTGCGCCAGTGTTATGCTCGCCCCGCACACGTCGCACGCGCTAAGTTGACCGCCGACGAGTGACTTTGCCTTAGCCTTGGGCTTTTTCTTGCGAAAGAAGATGGAGCCCCGCTTCGGACGCTTCTCTACGTTGTCGTAGACCTCGATCTTGGCATGAGACCGCAGTAGGCTTTGGTTTTCATCCTCGCTATCCGTGAGGTGGCGGGCGATCGCCTTGATGTCCTCCTTGGCAATTATCGAGCTCGTCGAAATGCTCTTTTGCAGTGGTATCCGACTGATGATCTCCGTGGCCAGGCTGCGTTTAGCTGCAATCCGCTCGAAATCCCTGGCCAGCTCGGCCTCGTTCAAGGAGTGGGTAGAAATGCCTGCAAACGATGAGAGGTAGGCACTCGGTTAGTTACTAATTACTAATCGTGGAGGGTTCGATTCGTCTGCCTCTTGCCGGAGCTTCCAATGCCAGAGAGCTCCAAAAGATAAGGGGCATTTGTGGAATTTCTTATCAAAATTGAAACTAACTTGGCCCCCACCTGCGCTTTAAACCAGCGGCATATCAATTCCCTACGAACAAGTGGAAGTCGAAAAGTTAATTATGAATACCTTGGCTAATTTTATGCGAAAAAGCTTCAAACATTTTGGAAATTATTTCAAAAATCTAAAACATATACTACACTCACAGTTATAAACCATATATTTTCTATAGATTTTATTTGTAACTTTGCAGGGTATTTGCAGATCTCCACAAATCTGGGAAATGTATAATTACTTTTTTCCAGGTTTATGGCTCTCATAAAACAAACCCACGAATGGGATATAAAGGCAAAATGCGGTTCTAGCCCTGTTTCCTAATGATTGTATGCCAAATTCCTCGAAAATATAGGCATGCGGGAATGGCTTATTTCTCATAAGGCAATCAATTTGTTTTTTTTAACGTGCATGTAGTATTATTTGGGAGTGTTTAGATTATTTTTTTTATTATGGAAATATGCAGATTAGATGTCGGCAATAACAATTATATTTTTGGTTTGCCTCTTCCGGAATTCCTAAATATTTTACAAATTAAAACCCATCGTAAAAGTTTGGTAAAGTCTTTACAATAAAATTACCTCATTGTATATAAAGAAGCCTCTTCTATTTAAAAATATTCACTTTTCTATCATTTTAAGAAGAAATCCTTCAGTTTACTCTGATTTGAAAAATATCAACATAAATTCATAACCTACCTCCAGTGCTGTTTCGTGCCGATCTTCGCCGTTGCTCAGTGACCCGGATCGTCTCCTGCTCCTCGCTGTCCAGGCTAGACAGGCTGACGCTCTTGTTCGTGCAGTCACCTCCACCGGCACTGGCATCATCCGCCGTTGTCCATGACTTCCTTCGGTCCGTGTGCAGGAAGAGGCACTGCTGTGGCGCCGCCGTTGACCACATGGCATACGGAGCAACCGAATGGGCAAAGCCAGTTCCCGGCCCTGAGCCCGTTAGATCGGGCAGCGAGGAACTCAGGATGGCCGCGCTCATCATGCCATTGGACGACAGACCATCCTGCACGTGCTGACTGGCCGAGGATGAGTTCTTCATCTGCACCACGGTCTCCCGGATGCTCTGCAACTGGCTGAGCGTGTCCTCAAATATGTTGTTGTACTTTGAGGCCAGAGCAGGGCTGTGTGGCGTCACATTGATGGTGGGTATCATGTTGTTGTTGTTAATGCTATTATTGTGGCTGGCTGGAGCGATGGACTGGGCCGGAGCAGTGGCTGGAGCAAGCGCTGGTGCCGGAGCTGGTGCGTTTATGATGGGTATGCAGTAGTTCTGGCTCTCAACGGTGACGCGAGGCCCCGTGGACGGGCCACCACCATTCAGTACAGCAGCAGCAGCAGCGGCTGAGGTGGAGGCGGGCTCGCTGCAGTTGGAGTTCAGGAAATCGGTGACCACATCGTTGTCGCTGTCATCACCGGGATTGTCCATAATAGTACGCTTCCGCTGAGGACGCACCGCCGAGTCTTCCCTTGTCTGAGCTGGCTATTCCGCAGCTGGAAGCCTAGAAAAAGAAAGTTTAGTATACAACGCACTCACTCACACCGACGCACATACTCACACTGACACCTACACCCACAAGCACGCATACACAGCGACGCCACTCGCGTATGCACTTGCTCGTTGGCTATTTATTGATTTTTTCCTCCACCCGCGACACCTTGTTGCGCGGGGTAAATTGTTGCGCTTTTCCAGGACGAACCACTTGTCCTTGTGCCACTTCAGTAGCAGCGACAACAACGGCGCAACAGCAAAAACAACGGCAGCTCCAACGGGCAGCAGTGCGTGGGAGGAGGAGAACACAATTTGGAGGAACTGAACGGGAGCTGCAAACGGGCAGGCGGGCGGTGAGGGTTAACTTTTCGCTGAACTTAATAGAAAATAAAAAATAGAACTAGAAACTAATGAGATTTTTGCCACCGTTTATTTTGAGCAGTGCTGCCAGTTTAGCTTATTTCGAGCTATTTTATTTTATTGTACTAGTTTGTTTTTGTTAGTATATTTTAGTTTACTTATTTTAGCTTTTTTTTTTTCTCTGAATCTAGCCTGCTCAAGGTCTCATCACTGGCAAAACTTAAGCAGACCGTGTTTGGTACAGAAATAATACAAAAAGTATGACCGTTACTAGGTGATAAAATGAATATTTTAAATTATTATTATTATTATAAACTTTAGAGTTTACAAAGATTTTAAATTAATTCATCGGTGTTTTTCAACCTTAAAAGTATGCAATCTTTAAATCACATAACCATTTTTGAAAAAGAAAAATGTATATATAATTTTAATGGTGTTTTAATAAACTTTTAGGTAAAATATATATATATTTTTTATTTTTAAGCAATATTTCATTATTAAATACTTTTAATGGCCATTGTTTATCACTGACCTTTTGGAAATAACCCGAAAAAATAAAATTTTACCTTTATACTTACTTTATACAAAATTTAAAAAATAATGGAAAATTGTGCCAAAATTAATAAATTGCTCATTTAATATTGAGTTACCTGTACCTATGAATGTTAATTTTCTGGAGCGAATTTCTAAATTAGCAGAAATCAATTTATTTCATTATTGTTTGACGATTTGTTTCACTAATTTCACATTCAAAATAGGCATCATGGGATTAGTATCAACTTTCGTCGTGATTCTTGTCTGCTTTCTGTGCATTCTTGTCACAGTGGACAGCAAAGGTAATAAAAATCACAAGCCTGATGATAGACCGTGGCACAGGCGTCCTCACAATATGCACAGGGCTCCCTACACAGGATACGATTGGGAGAAGAATGGGTACTTAACTCCATAATTAGTAGAAACACATTTTTACCTTCCGTCTCTCTTGCAAATCCCACAGTTATAAGCGCAATTTCGACTAAGAAAACTCATGTCACAACTGAACCCTCCCCAAGGATCACGGGACAACACCTCGTCGTTTTTACCAAACACAGTAATCAGTTTAGCCAGCGGCGGCCATACTTTAATTTCGACTATCTGGCTTCCACTAAATACACAATAGACGTCGTCGACTAACTTTTCGCTTAACTACGCTCACACACAACGCACTTGCTGGAATCGAGGACTTAGTTCTTCCACTTGTTGTTCTCGTAGTCCCACTTGGAGGTCAAGCCGGTGACGGGGTTGATTTCCAGGTCAATGATACGCTTCAGCTGGGCCTTCTGGTGCTCCTCATCGAAGGTAACGGGCAGCTCATCGTACACTGAAAGCAACAGCTCAGATGTCAGCAAAGAACAAGACTCTAAGGGAATAAGAAGGGCTCACCGAAGAGGTTCATCAGCACGGCAACCCAGATGGCGGCGGCGGTGAAGAGGAGACCGACACCCAAGTGCAGCTTCCACTCTCCAGTGCCGGCCTGCACCTCGGCGATGGTTTGGCAGAAACTCGCGCGGTACAGAGCCTTGATCTCCTGGTGGCTGAGCTTCTTCCAGTCGCCCTGCTCCTTGGCACGCAGAGCGTTGATCTCGTTGTTGGGCTCGCGGAAGCGGACAGCGGGCAGAGGGTAGTCCACGCGATCGGCGTAGCAGGCGGTACCGTTCCAGCCGAAGCCCACGATCTCGCGTTTGCCGATCTTGTCCAGCGTGTGGATGCCGGCCACACTGCCGATCTGGGCGTTCTTGGGCAGCTGGGCGGCCAGCTGGCGCAGCACAGCGTTGTTGATTAGTCTCAGAGCCATTTTCCAAAGAGTCTGCAAAACAATACATAGAACAATATTAATGCGTGACGATTGGAGGTTATGTAATAGTGGGAGGACGAGCTATAAGTCCCACTTGCATAATGGCCTGGCTTAACGGCCTGGCTATCTTCCCAGCATCTTTGCTGCCTCTTTTCCTTGATTCCGTGCAGTGCGAGGCGGTTTATCAGCATAATTCGCACTTTTTTCACTGGTTTTGCAGCTGTTGTGTAATCGGTGGAAGGCTTCGCCCGCTGCAACTTGCCGCTCAAAAGCTGTCACTGTGGCTTTTCCACTCCAGCGGACACTTGCTCCCCCATTTTTCAATTAGAGTAGGCCCCAGCTCACGGCTTTTAGTGAATATAAGCAATTTTAGCGATTTTCACTCGTTTTACCTACTTTGACTGCAAAATAATGACAAAAACCGATCAGTGTTGCCAGGTTAAAATTTTGTTTTCCCCGAAAATCGATATTTTTATATCGAACCACACCTGAGACTCGAACCACATCTGAGACTCGAACAACATCTAATACAACAACCTCCGGTCGCCCAGAATGAGAGTAACTGAGTTTTGCTAATAACGGTACATAATGGTACATAACAGTCCACTTTTCAAAAATTTGTTGTGGCGAAATGGCTAAAGATATCATATTTTATTAAATACCATAAAATAAACCAAGAACTAAACCATTTTAAGTTAAATTTTGTATTGAAAAATACTTAGAGGCATAGGAGTAATAGGGAAGCTCCCGAGTGCCCTCCAAAAGTTGATTTACCCCCTTTTGTTTAATTTTTCAATAATTATATAAAAAGACAACAAATTGAGTTTGATATTTAATTTATTTTGATTTGATGTCATAATCCATAAATGCACACATTTAAATTAGACAGAGACACGCGTTCGTTAAATCGCATCCTATAGTTTTACTGCTCGCATTGGTAGTGTATGTAGTTAATATTCTGATGGGGATGGGTGTTAATTTAGCTATTATCTGAAGGTAGGGGAGCATTACGTATTTACGTTCCCATATTCCTGTGTTTAAGCGCGGCTTGGCATAATAAATATTTAAATGGTACTTGCTTCATTGGGTTTATAAATACGACATATGTTTGTAACAATATTTAATGATGATTACGCAAATAATTAAACTAAAGTGAAAGCTTTTTCCATCGAATATACATCTTGTAAATTGGTAGTAGCAAAAACTTACGGCTACATTTACAATAGTTTTATGTGTAGGGTTACTTTATGTTTCAATATGATCTGCCGGGGCTGGGCTAGGATAAAGGGTATAAAAAGTCACCGAAGCCGCCGAGCAGCCTCACACTTAAGCATAGGGGATTTCCTTGGTTCTATATACAAAAACGTGTAATTTCTCTTTTCTGAATAACATTTAATGTTAGTTAAGGTTTTCTCTCTCGAGTTTTGGGTACTTCGGGAACGCCGTCGGGACCGTAGACTCATTTGGAAGTGGTTAGTGCTTCAGCTTTACGATTTGGGACCTGGACAATTTGCATTTTTAACAAGTGCGCTAAAAAGTGCAATTTATTTACGGAAGGAGGGGATATCAATGGGTTGGTGGTGCAAATGGAGACCCCTTGAAACTTCTTTTGAAAGAGCCTGCGAAAGTAGTGCAAGAAATCCCATTTGTGTGGGGGTTTTGGGAGTGCAAGCAAGGTGAGCGGCCCGCGGTGTGTTCCGTAAGTTAGTCCTTCTTAATTTGGCATGTACGAAGAGGTTAGTCTTTGGGGCTCTTTACTCGGCACCCGCCGAACTATCGGGCGTGACGTTGGAGTCCAGACTGGCGCAGTCGGACTCCTGATCCTGAGCCTCTGAGTAGTTCGCCGCCTCCTGCAGGCGCATCAGCATGTTGAGCTAGGGTAAAAAGGCTCTATTAGTTGGATGTTTTGATGGGTTGAACGTCAAGGGACCTACCAAGGGATCCTGCTGCTCGCCGTTGGTCAGAGCCACGCCCTCCAGGCCCACATCCTCGGCATTGATCTGCCGCAAGGGGGGCACCGAGTCCGGTCCATAGGGCCAAGGATACGAGTTCCTGATAAACGCCGAGGGATCGTTCCAGGCACCACCCCGGCGTCCGTACAGCTGCACACCCTCGCGCACCGCTTCCACAAGGTAGGGCGACAGGTGGTAGTTCCAGATGTCGGTAAACCATACCTGGGAGTCCTTCAGATCCAGCGGGCAGGCGAGGAAGAGTCGCGGGCCGATGGTCACATCACTGGAGCTGTGTACTTCAAGGAACCTGTTGATGTGTTGCCACACGGAGGGCAGCCAGGCCAGGACAGCCGCCAGCTCGGGCTGGGCATGCTGCGTCTGGAGCTCCAGTTGGAAGAGGCGGCGCCGCAAGAAGCGTCCCAGGAAGCCCTTAACGGGCTCCATGTGATTAGCTGTAAGAACCTGCGATAAACAGACATTGATTAAATACCTGACAATCCACAAAATCCAGCCACTTACCCATCGGAAGTTGTGGTGCAGCTGCAAATTGGTGGTGTTGCAGGTGGCCTGCGACATGGTGCCAATGATGCAAGGCAGTTTATTCGCCGGACCGGCGCTCAGCAGGCAGGAGAAGACATCGCCTAGCGCCGAGGCATGGTGTAGGTTGTCCAGAATGATCACAGAGGGAAGCTCCGAAGCGCCGTTGGCTATGGCCGCCTGCTCGGCAATGTGGCCCAGATATTGACGAAGATCCTTCGAGGATTTGTGGTCAACGCTGGGTAGAGAAAAGGACATTAAGTATTAGGTAAAGGTATATTAAAATTCTCCCTTGACTTACTTGAACGTGGCGATGGCCTCTGAAGGGTTACCGCGTGCTGCTCGAGCCACCAGAAACTCGGCCAGTCGGCGAGCCAAGTACGACTTCCCAGTGCCGCTTGGTCCGCACAGAATCAGACGGCGGTGCTCCGTGAGCAGACTGATGTATCGGTGCACAATGCTGCGCGGGATGAGGCTGTCAAAGGCCAGGCTGCCCACGCCCTGCAGGCAGATATACAGAGTGCACACGCTGCCAACGATGTAGCCGCAGGGCAGCAGTTCGGGGAAGCCCATCTCCGGGCCCCTTTTAGCCTCGCCCAAGTGGTACGAGGTGATCGAGTCCGTGTTTAGGCCCAAATTGGTGCCCGGATCGATGCGCGCCACATAATCCTTGAAGGTCTTGCGCACCACGTAGTCCAGGTTCTGCCACGTGGTCTTGCCGGAGATGTAGGTGCAGGCAATGACGAACTCATTGCAGCTGGCGGCAGCGAAGTTCGCCTTTCGTTCGCCCTGGGAATGCGCATCCGCCTCGTGTCCGTTGGCATAGAAGCCATCCAGTTCTTGGAGCTCGTCACAGTACTTGGCAAAGGCATCCGGCTGGCCCAGGTAGCAGGCAATGGCGATCTTCTTACCATCGCACACGTCGGTCAGCTCCTCCGTGGCACTGGGCATGTGCACTGGACTGGCTAGCGGGGCTGCCTCCAGTGCGGGTGGGGGCGGGGTGAGGTCTATGTGGGTGCTGGGACTCAGGGGAGCTACGTTAACGCCATTGGGAGCCGGTGGTGGTGGCGGCTCTGGTGCTGGGGCTGGCGGCAAGCACTCCTCCTCCAGCTCAAGCTCCTCGCTGAGACGGGCGGGCAGGTCCATCGGAGGACGATTGGTGCTATCAGCCAGGGAGTAGCGACGTGACACCTCAGAGCTGCCGGCCACCGATCCATTCGGACTGATGGCCTGGCCTAAGCTCGCTTCGGATCCGGCCAGGGAACGCGTTGTTACTAGCTTCTGGAGGCGCTCGTTGTTCTGCTTCAAGGACATCATCTCCGCCCGCATCTTGTTCATCATTTCCTTGAGGCTCTCCAGCTGGGAAGCTGAGCTCAAGGCCTCCAGGCGTATATCGGTGAGGACAAGATCCTTCTCGCGTAGCTGCTTTTTGAGGTCCTCGACCACCTGCTGATCCTCCTGCTCGATGGCATCAATGGGTTTGGCGTTATCTATTAGGGTGAGTGTCTTGGCGGGACTGCTTTGGTTGCTCTTGGGCAACGGAGGAGCGGGCTGTGTGGCCAGAGAGGCCAATCCCAACAGCTCTCCATGGCCATTGGGCAAGGGCAGCTTTCCCGAAGCCGGATCCTGTTGGCTTTGGTTGTGGTGCTGGTGATGGTGGCCCACATGACGGCTAGTCTTAGAGATCTTGGCGTTGCGGGAGAAGGCCTTGGTGAAGCTGCTCCTCAGCCAGCCCTTCTTCTTGTTGGCCTTGTTCTTATCCTGGGCAGCGGAGCAGCCGGAGCTGATGGAGTTCAGCGAGCACATGGAGTCCGTGCTGTGTTGGCGTTGCATTCCCAGACCCACTGTCCCGCTGCCGTTGCCATTGCTGGGGCGATGGGCACCCGATGGCGGTGGCTTCTGGTCCCCGGCTTGGCCCTGACCCTGAGCCTGGCTCTGGCTGTGACCCTGTGTCTGCACGCCCATACTCTGCATGTGCGCCGTGGTCAGGCCCGCCTGGATTGACTGCTTTCGTAGCAGCTCGATGGTCTGGCGCATGTCCGTCAGCTCGCCGTCCTTGCGCTCCGCCGTCGCCGTCAGCTGCTGCAGCCGGTTGGTCATGTTCGACAGCGATTGCTCGAAGGCAGTGACCACATGGGCCTGTAAAGAGAAAGAGAGAAGAAAATAAGTAAGAGGGGCTTAGGCCAGGTCTGTGTGCTGTGCAGTTCATCATCTTCTGTACATAGTGCTGTCCCGTCCGTTTGGGAACATCTCGTTCGTGCCGCGCATTTCAAGGCGAAGGTGCTGCTTGGCATGCAAGGCGTTGCACTCGCCACTTGCGGCTCACCTCGGCCACATGAGTCACGGACACACAACGGGCTCTGAGCCGGGCTTTAGGAACTTTTTTAAAACTCCTGGCCCTGACGAAAGCATAAGTGCACTTGGAGAAAATACTAGAATAACTCAAATATCATAAAAAGAGCTGATGAGAAAGTCCAAATGAGCCATAAAGATGATTGTCAAAATAGGAGGCAAAGACATAACTCACAATAGAGATGGCCAAGTGCAACAGTAGAAGAATTCCTAGAAAACTTGGTGACTCAAAGCGGAAGATGTAATTGCCCAAGCAGCAGCAGGAGAAGCTTTAGCTGCAACGACCCTTTCCGTTGTTGGTCGTAAAAAGCTTCCTCGAGTAATTTAGCATTTTTATCATCATCCAATTGGGCTACATGCCGGGAATTTTAACTACACCAGACTAATTAAATTATGAATCTGCAAACGTGATCACAACAAGCGTTGAACCCACACACTGAGAACCTACGACGAATCGCATTAAACACCACGTACAACCCCCAGACCTCTCCTAAGGGGTAACCCTTTCAACTTTCTCCGTATTTGCGGAGGAAGGGCTCTACCTCGGATCTGATTCGTTTGTCTGCCAGCTCACGTAAGCGGCAGGCATTAAAATTGATTGCAGTGCGTATGAGTAACGTGACGCACAGGAAGGAGTTGGGCACTTGCAGGATAAGTTGTACCCCAGAACCCGGCAATTAAAACGCATTAGCGGGCCATTTTCTGGAGTTAGATCATAAAAAGAGAGGCAAGTGATTATTGCCGGAATAATGAAGCTTTGCCTTGAACTCAAAAGTATAGAGAATTCCGTAACCGATGACGGATTTTCATCTCGAAAGCATTGCCATCGCAAGCTGCTTTAATGAGAAGCAAATTAAATGGCGAAACGTGCTAGATGTTTATCCAAGAGCAAGTGGCGAATCGAGTGGGACCAGTAATGATGGCGTATAATCATCTTTTGCCTCTATTTGTTTTCAACTTAATAAAATGGGTGTGTTTTCCCGGTAGCTAATAACTACGATGAGGTCACTCTATGTCCAGTAATTGAACTAGCCGCATGCCAATGCTAATGCCATTTAATTCCATAAATCTATAAACACATTCCATTGCCGCTAGAAGTTAAAGTCCTCCAGAAACTTTGTTGGAGTCCAGGCCCGTCCTTGGACTAATAGAGAAAGTAATTAACAGACGGACAAGGAACTTTTAGCTTCAAACAAAACGTCAAAACATTAACGATACGCCGATATGAAAAAGTTGGCAAATTCAAAGGGGAAATGACGTGCGACACAAGGGGGACATCAAAAAGGAAACGACCCCAGAGAACCCCTGCGAACAGTGATTCGCAAACTGTAATAGTGGCTCTTTTGGCCAGGGAGTAGGGAGGGGAGCCTTGATGTTGCTGCTGCTGTTTCATTTGCACGTTGAAGGCACTGAAGCGTAAGACGGTTATGCATCAGCTGCGAGCGACACGCAGCCAGGAGAGGCGGTGGAAAAGGCGGAGGAAACCAGTGGAAACCGGGGGGAAAAGGCAGGCCAACTTTAATTTGACTTCGGCTGCTGCTGCTGCCAGTGATGCATTGCTGAATTTCGCGCTGGCAATTTGCAGACACAAAACAAAGTTCAAGTTCAATGACAGGCCAATGCAGCTCTGCCACCCAAAACCTCGTTTAACGTATAAAAATAAAGTTTAAACAGTGGAATTGCTGGTTGCTGATAAGCACTGATAGTGGCTACCACTTGATAAGGCCAGTGGCCTTCGATTAACTATCGTAAATAGGTCGCCTGCCCAGCGATAAATTCAATAAACACGGCGGGCAACCCAAAATGTTCGTTGGTGTTGCAGTCGTGCATAAATCATGCTGCTGCAGCAATGACAGCGATGACTGTTGCTGCCCCCACTTGACAATTGTTGCAGCATCGGGCGACCATGTGTGTTGGTGTCAGCAACATGCTGTAGGCGTGTGCCCTTTGACCTTTCCAGTGATTTATGCCTTGAAATATCAGAGACAGCAACAGCAGCAACGGCAGAACTTGACATTTGTTGAATTTACATAACAGAATACAACTGTAGCAGTTGCACATAGTCTCCTGATGCGGCAGCGAGGAGTTTGCCCAATTTGCTTTGGAATATTTGATGTATGGAGTATAATTTACCCCGGCCTTCGAGAGTGAAAGTTTCCCAAGGATGGCAGATGCCATTCTCTGAACTGGCCTCCCCTCCTTTGATAATGACTAATTGACGAAGGCTGTACAAGGTCAGGTGTCAGTCAAAGCGGGGGATTCCATTTCTTCGGAAGCTTCCACCGGGGCTGATGGCTTTGACCTCGCTGAATTATGGACATATTTTCTAGCGAGTTGATGGACTCTGGCGATAGTGCAAAATTAATGAAGATTGGAAGTTGATGGCTGTAACCTATTTGGCTTTTTCCTGCCTAAAGTCCCGCAAGAGCCAGCTGATAGCTGATTAAGATAAGAAAAGACTACCTGGTTATATCAGGGGAGAGGAGATAAGATAGTGTGTGCTAAATAAAAAATATTTTTAATAGAGGCACTTCTCGCAACTCTCAAAAATTAAGGCAACTTTTCTGTTCCTTAATCACAACTGATTTCCTGCCTGAGATTCCAGATACCTCAGTCAGTTTCGTATCTTGATTCGATTTCTCATCCACCTTTTCTCTTCGTTATTTCATTTCGAGCACAATCGAATCTTGGGACCTGCCCCATAATAAAATGATTAACAAACTAATCCTTTTTGATTGTTTGTGGCGCAAACAAACTCACACATAGGAGTGCCTGACCAAAAGCTGAAAAGACAGGGACATGGGCATCAGGATCCGGGGCAAGTGACTCGGAGCCGCGAGAGCGGAGAAATAGCAAATCATCATTAAGCATCTTGGACAGCCGAACCGAAAGAGAAGGGCCAGCCAACCCACAGAGTTATCCGCACAGGCCGAGGCTGAGTCGCCTTTGATCCGCCGCCAATGCAACGCTGCCCGCTTCCAGAATGGAAGCCTCTGTCCCAGTGGCTGGTGAAAGATCAAGATTGCTGGCTCCATTATTTGTAAAATTGCCGATTCGCTCCCGCTCTGCGAATCTCCAAAGCCAGTGTATACAGTTACCCAGATAAGTTTGCATTTGACTAATCCGCAATGCCAATCTCCAGATGAGAGTTTGCAGTATGTAAACTTACCTGCAATGGAAAGAAAAAGATAATTTAAAATTAGTTGCAGATTTGGATTTAGAGGGGAGATTGCAATTAATATAAATAATATATTTATAATATTTTAAAATATTTATAATAAATTGTAATTGTTTTAATTGAAGAGGCAAGTCAATTGTCCTACAATTTATATTTCGATTTATTAAGAAACCTTCGTATATCTCTATTTATAAATATAATAGTTTTAGAATAGATCAGAGACTTAATCATTATACAATTTCAAAAATCCCAACAAAATAATCCCACAATTTTAATAATTTCTCTGTGTTGATGTTCTTGCCCCTCTTCAGTTAATCCCTTAATGAAGAACGCATTTTCCCCAGACAATCACAACAATGACTTGCTACAGCGACACGATCAATGGCCATTCAAGGGCCCTTTCGATCCCCCTTTTATTTTCGTTGATTTATTTTTCGTGTCTTATTGATTTCTTCAATTTCAAGACCGGAAGCTGCAAGGGGCACGTTCAACGCTCTGAGACAACGAAGATGCAGCGCGGTGACTGTGATAACACAATATTTGTGCGGAGCATTCAAATCAACATGGCAGCTAAAAGTTTTGAATTTGTTTACATTTCCTCTCTTTGTTGCTTTGCTTATCAAACAAGAGACACCAAGACCCAGACCCACTCCTAGAGCCCGAGCCAGACTCAGGTTTCTGGTTTTGCCAGCTCGATTCTGTTTGACCATTGTTGTTTGTTTTGATTCTGGGCTCGAGTCGAATTGAGTTTACTCCGCCAGTTGCGCTGATTTCCTCAGGGAGAGAAGGGCCTCTACGTTTGTGTGGCAATTGGAGGGGGGCAGTCGACACCGACAGCGACTCGTCCTTTTCTGAACAGCTTCATCATGGTCACGTCTTGGGGTCTGAGTCGCGTCTCCTCCGTCACCGTGGCTGCCTTTCCAGCTCTTCTTGCGGTCGAAAACAAGTTTTCGTGTTCTTTTTTTGCCATCGAGGTTTCGGCTGTTGGTCTTTTGGGAACCCTGCTGAGGAACTACTCGCACAGAACTGGTTTCGAGCCTCAGCCACCTGTGACAGGTCGGAAAGCAGCAAAAAGTGCAGAGCAAATGTACAAGTTAGGAGTCCAAAACACGTGCCCAGCTTGGAATAACTTGCTGCCTCTCATAGTGGAAAAATAAATACGAGTATGTATAATTTAATTACAAATTGAACGAGTGGGGAATCTTGTGGGGAAACTGTTGCCTTCGTGTAGCCTCTGTGAAAAACCAACAGGCCAGGCCGCCAATTGAGATAGACGCTGGCTCACTCACCCAGTCAGTCAGTCAGCTAGTCAACCAGTTTCTTTGTTGGCTCAGTGCCGCGGCTGCAATTATTATCTGCAAGATATAGAGATATTTCATGTGCATTCGGCCAATCGCCAGTTGCCATCTCGTTTATCACAGAGCAACTGTTTTAATAAGCGATCCCCGATAGATAAAAACAACAAGTTATTTAAGGCCGAGCCCGAGTTGCCAATTTGTTGGCGTTTTGTCAGCCAAAAGATTTATTAATTATGCATGGCGCAGCGCCTAAAAGTGGCACAAGTATAATGGGGCCTGAACTGGTTAAAAAAAGCTGCCTCGAGGTGGGA